AGCTGGGTACAATCTCAAAGCTTCAGTTTCACGTTAAGCAATTAAGTGTTGTTCTTGACCTATTAAAACTCATACAAAACGTTAGGCAAGCAAATCTTGAACTCTATCAGCCCTTGTAATCTGGCTTACATATGGCTCTCTTGCAGCTGCAGCGGCAGCACCTTGAAGGACGAAAGCACGAAGTAAAAGCACATGGATCGAAATTACATTCAGATTGATTTAAGCATCTCCTACACCGGGGTATCACTGGAGAAAAGAAATAATGCCTCAAAAAATTTTGTTTATTTTTAAAGAGCTAAGGAACCTAGACGAACTTGGATACATTCCTTAGTCTTTTTTTTATAAGGTCCTGATCCGGTAAATAGGCAGACTTTTCCAATCCCCTTTGAAGTCTGAGGTTTTATCACATCCATGCATTTTCGATGAAAGCAATACATTGACACAAAGAAGATAATTTCAAAATTTCATTGGACAAATATCTTGACTTCATTTATTACGTCATTTACTCAGTCGGTTAACATAAAAAGTGTGATGCAACGTTTTGAATTTCTATAAAATTCCATTTTTTACAGTGGCTTTACTTGATCCACAATGACAAGGATTCGAATTCATTTAGCTTGGATTATCAACACTTAGCTTAGGATGAAATCCCTGGATGTCATTTTCTGTTTTAGTTGTGATGACTAGGCTACTAAACTGAAAGAAGTAATAAAAAAGAATTTTATCACTTACCGTAAGGCCTAACTCTAAACTGTGAAGAAAATAAAATTTGTATAGTCAACTTATCTCAAAATTCAAAATTCGCCGAGAAGAGTATCATGTGCCCTACTTGGTTTCGTCAAACTTGGTTTTGTCAACCTCCCAAAACTTAATGATCCAAGACTGATTTTCCCTCCTTCTTGCCTCTTGGTCTTAAATTCGCGATAAATTTAAGCAATTTGGTCTTCCTCGTTAGCTTGGAAAATCGAGTTTTCATAATTGGTCGTTGTGATGAAGGTCAGACTGATATAATATAAAATAATATGAAGGGGCAAATTTCATCAGCTGGGAATGTGATCAAAGAGCAAACTAGCAGGACTAATAATGATTGTTTTTAACCAGCGCGTAATTCATCGAGGTCGTATCGCACTACTTTGTAAGGATGCGAGGCAGACAATCAGTAGCACCACCAAAATCTTCGACATCGACTCTCCTGTTAGGAAGATAAAATCAGAATGAGTGATTGAAATAAACTCAGCAATTAAGTGTGATGATCTGAATCAATCAGTATAGAACTTTGACGATAAATCCGCTGCTTTTGCAAATCAGGCCATCAAGTAAGCTGTGAAGTGTTATATTCCATTTCGTATTGCTAAAGTTTGAGTCCTTAACTGTTTGTTAAAATTGTTAACTGAAATTATTAAAGGAAAAAAATTGAAAGAAATGGTTGGGTAATCACTGTAAGTAATTCGTAACATTTAGTTCTTTCAACGTCTTCCATTCATGTTATTTACTTCAAAAGTTGAACAGAAAATATAAATACACGAAGATAGCCTAAGTATAAAACTAGCATAGATTATTTTTACCAACTTCACTAATCGTCTTGATATTAAAGAGAAAAAAAAGCCAAATTTGAGAGTTTGCAAAACTGAAATATAATAATCTTGTACTCAGAAGATGAAAGATATCATATCAGGAGAAAACTGAACTGTTATGTGTTGGATATCTTGATCGCTTGTGTCAGTGTGATCTCATGTGACATATGATATGATATCTCAGTATTATGTTGAATTTTTTATCGTTAAGCCTATCAAATATCATATCGCTAGATATCCTCGAAGGTGTTCCTGGAAATGTTAAATACATACATAGAATGCCCTTACGCCAGATTATTTGATATGGAATTGTTATACAGTATATGGGATGTGTTTTTATTAGCAGAATGGGATAAAAATGTTTTTGTAGTTCGTTGATAGTCTGTTGATAGGATGAAACAACTTCTATTACGACAGCACGAGCTTTTGAGATGATGGTATCACTTGTCTTTGCGTATGACGGCATAATGAGGGCTTTGAAATTTTGGAGTTTGTGCAGCCGTCTGCGAAGTTTGACTGAAAAACAAAAAATCTTGAACTTTGGCTCAGTTATCTTTCTTATGAAAACCGTGACTCCTAATCACAGCCTCCCCTTCTCCTTGTTCTAGCCGGGCCTCTCACCCGTCATTGAGAGCCCACTTGGGCGTACCAACGGGTGGCTCCTTATCGGTCACCTCCCCTACTTTTTAGGCCCCGTCCACACGTATCCGGATAAATTTAAAAACGGATAAATATTTATACGGTTACGAGTTCCGTCCACACGTAAACGGCGTTTTCACACACCGAAAACGGATAAATTTGAAAACGCTCTCCAGAGTGGATAAATGAAAACGCTGGCTAAGCGTCTCCGTGTGGACGCCTTATCCGGATAAATTTGAAAACAATTTGAAAACGATGACGTAACAAGAAAATGAAAGTAAAATAAAATTTGAATTTCTCGTCATTCTGGCACCATCACCACTGATTTTGATTTTGATTTTACCAGTGATGGGGTCAAATTCACTGTTATGCTTCAGGAAATCAGAGATATGTATTTTAAACACTGTTTCAGCAGAAGTTACTTTGGCCCCTTCAAACTTAGCATTTAGTGGTTCAATTTTGCACATTTTGTTCAGTTCATCACGGCATTGTTTGACGTTTACGTGTGGACACCAAAAACGATTCACAAACGGCAACGTGTGGACGCGGATAAATTTGAAAACGGATAAATATTTATCCGTTTTCAAATTTATCCGGATACGTGTGGACGGGGCCTTAATTGGTTCGCTGACACCTCTTGTTAGCAGGGCTTTCTGTCCTTTGGCTTCTATTATCAAGCCTGCAGAAAGGAAAACAAATTATGTCAAATTTTTTATAAAAAGGCTTTTGCTCTGTTTTCGAGGAATTATTATTAGGGAAAGGTCTTGTAAATCATGGACATGGTGAATATAAAACGAGTAAATGTTGTTTTTGCCACGTTTTTTCTTTCTTGTCCTTTCAATTGAAAAGCAAACTTGTGAGAATATTCTCTAGGGGATAGAAGGGGGGAAAAAAGAGGCAGGAGTGTTCATATTTTGAAATAAAAGGTGATGCTAACCTGCAAATCACATCTTCTTTTGTATGTAGTGAACGAACAAAAGTTAAAGCATCTGGAAATGGAGGTAATTTAGTATACGACAGATTTTGGTTTCTTCTTAGATTTTCGATCTATATTCATTTAATATGACTGAGATGCCTTTTAAGTCTCCGAAATAACGAACTGTAAACGGAGAGTAAAATATAGTGTAAACGCTTAATAACCATCAAACTGGTGCTAATAATTTTCTTCTGCTCATGACCAGTTTAAACAGACACCGGTTGACACCCATGAATAAGCGCAGCAGCGAAGAAAATAATCCAAACATATTTCTCTTGGTACTGGCATACTATTTGTATCTGGGATACATGGATTTCGGCCAAGTCAAGGTGTGCTATTTTTTTAAAAAGGCACATTTTATTCAATTTTCCTTCGCGGTTTACAATCGTCTTGCATGTGTGGACTATTGCTTTGTTTGGAACTGAGACCAATTTGATCTCTTGTTTAAACAACAGAGTAAACAAACCTGCCAGCTACATAGTGAAATGAAATGTATTAAATCGAATCGAATACAGTTTGCATATGAGCATTTGACGTCTTCTTCTTTACTAACTAGTAAGTCATACCATCCCTTTTACTCTAGAAAAGTTTATTAGCAAAAGTAAGAATTTCTAAAATTCCTTATGATACTTCATTCTTAACGGTATCCGCTCCTGATGTATGTGATTTAACTAGGTTAAGCAAAATTGCAACAAGAGAGAAGCACCGATAGCAAGGATTCTGAAAGTCAGGTTTAGAGACAATTTAGACGGAAAATTTGTATTGAA